TCTTGGAAGTGACATGCTACAGACAAGTCTAAGCAAAAAGAGTTGTTTCCCAAGCAAACATGGTCCTGTTGTAGATCTTCATGTTTTCCACTCTGAGTTGTATGTAGCATATTGCAGTTATGGTGTGGCTATTTATAGCTTAGGTGACACTAACAAGGTAGGCAAATATCTTAGACATAATAGACAGTCAACAATAGAGAAAGTTGTTAATTGAAAATTTTGAAGATTTGTTGAGCAGTTTGTCACTTTTCTTGTATATGAGAGAAATCATTGAATTATACATTAACTAATTATGCTAAACATCCAGTTTTGCTATCCATTATTATTAGCATATTATTACAGAAAGCTCTACAAGAAATTAAATTTCCTGACCTTCAGTGCATGACTGTGGCTGAGTTGCAGGGGTCAGTCAAGGTTATTGTTGGGTGTGGTCCTCAGCTTGCATTCTGTAATCCTGTAAGTTTCTAAAAACATTATTGCCATTCATATATATATATATATATATACTAATTGCAAGAAATATTTTCAAGTGTAGCATTCTAAAGCATATACACAGAGTTTTATAGAATTACAATTTTATTGATTTGCCCTATCTTAATATTGTCTGAATGTTTATAAATAAATTAAATAATTCTGTGGTAATTCATTTTCAGATACTGCTACAAATAATAGTTTTACATTTGCCTCAGGGTCACAAAATGTAAATAAAACTTCAATCAGTGTTGTTTTTTTTGTTTGCAGAAAGATGTTTGTACCACACAGCCTGAAATCTTTGATCTGGGCAGCCCTGTAAAGTGTTTGTTAGTAACAGGCTCCTTAGTTTATTGTGGTTTAGACACTGGAGAAATTGGTGTCTTTGATACTATGGTATGTTTAAATCAGTCAATTTTAATTAGTAATCTGATTAATGTAATGAAAACAACACTTTTAGTGATATATTTAATGTTGTTTATAAACATTCATAAAGTATATCAAATTGTGATCCACAGAAAATGGAATTAAAAGATCGCTTCATATGTTCTGACCATCCCATCCACTGTCTGGCCTCTGCTCAAGAGGGCTCCTCCAGGCTGATATGTGCTTCCTCTCAAGATGGCACAATCCTTGTGATCAATGCACACACTGGCCTGCCACTTAGGATATTAATAGGGCACAGCAAAACAGCATTTTCATTAGCAGTATGTTCTTGTTTATTATTATTGTGATTGTTGTGAAGATTTTCACTAATGATTTTAACATTTCTACAGGGTCAAGAGTTTGCATAATAATGATGTAGTTTTATTATTTTATTTTAGTATAGTTAAACTTGGAGGTGACTGCTGAGCTAAAGATCCTGGGTTTAAAGCTTGGTTGAGCCATCCCAGTGACTATAATTAACTGAAGTCAGTTTTACAGTTGAAGAAATAAGCATTGATTATTGAACTGTAGCATAGGAATGACATGTAGAGAGAACTGCCACTTGTAGTATCATTGTATTTAGCAGTTTATAAATAGGAACAGAAAATACACTGCTTTGGAAAGAATATCTTCTTATAGGTCCAAATATATTGTAATATAAACACCCTTCTAGGTGACCTGAAGCATTAAGTCTAGAAACAAATGTCATATAAATATTTTAAATGTATTTTTTTGTTCTAGGTCAGTGGCCAATTGGTTTACAGTGGTTCAGGTGACAGTACTGTGATAGCTCATAATATCCATGTAAGTTGTTAAGGAAAATTAAAATCTGCACAGTTAAAATGTGTATATATACATTTTTTTTGGTTTAACCCAACTTGTCCCATACCATGCTCTAACTGCACATTGCATTCAAGACATAATGTGTTCAATACACATTGTCATCTGTGCATGTTTTTTTTATGTCATTTGGTATATATTTCTTTATTATTAGTACAAATTACATTTCTGAATTTGTAAGATTGAACCAGAAAATGAATTCATTTAAATTATCTATTTCCACAGACTGGCGCTATTGTTGATATAATCAATGATAACAAGGGTTTAATCAAATGTGTTTATTACCAAGATGGCTTTCTTTTTACTGGTGGAATGGACAGGCTGGTCAGATGTTATGATAGAAAGGTCAGCATTACTATGTATTGTGTAGCATAATGTAAAGTAGACTGAGCTATACTTACGTTAGCCCATTTATGTACTATAACATTGTTCAATACTTTATTCTGCAGATTAAACAATTAATTCAAGTATACTATGGAGCTGAAAGAACTGTCATCTGCAAAATTTGTGTTCATGAAAATATGGTACCAATTTCTTTTCTTTTTGTTGTCAGTTATATTTTTTTAGTAGCTAAATTCATTTCAGTGATCAGAAAGATTAGTTCAATTGTATGCTCAAAAATAACTTTATAGTAGTGCTGAAAAATATGGTCAAAAATTTAGCTTTGACTTAAATCACCTCCCCTCTCTATAAAAAAAAACAATTTTTGTTAAAAATTTTTTTTTGTATTCTATTTGCGTTAAAAGATTTCACATATTTTCTATTAAATTGATGAAAACTGTTCAGAGCTCAAAAACAAAAAGTAAATTTTTTGAACCAGTTTTTCATAATATGTTCTGACTTCTTGACCAATATGAGGGATACCATCACAAAGCTAATTTGAAATTTGTTTTGTAACTTTCCAAAGCTCAACTTGTGCTTATTTGTATAGTTGCTTTTTATCTCATTATCTCTAGAAATAAAACCAAATGAATAGCTAAGTGATCAGAACTTTTGTAAATAGTGAACCATGTATTTTCTCATATTAATAAACTAGAACTAACTAGCTTCAGGTAGGAGAGGCTTGTTATCCTTGGCTGGCTACCCACCTAGAAGTAAAACTCTGAATTCAAACTTCTGCTGCCATTCAACTTTACCCAAAGATGGGAAAGGCTTTGGGAGAAAACTCTGAGGAAAATCTTTTGGCAGCTTGCAGCACTCAGTGTTACTTCCTGGCAGAACCTGCAACACTTCTGATCCCAAACTGTATTGGCACATCAGCTGTGTGGAGAGTGGGAACTTCTGTGTGAGCAACATCTTTCCGACCATAGCTAATGCCCAGGCATTCATCTCATTTCTATGAAATTCTCCATAGTCACTTTGTGACTGAGGGAGGCCATATAATCTATAACTGTATAATATAAATAAAACATTTCAGTTAAATGTATTAAATAAATCCAAAATTCATATTTAACCTGAGAGAGTAAACCTGTCTTAAAATGTTTGGTGTGATTGTTAAATCAGAGAGACATTGTATTTCATTAACATTTATCATTTTGTTTTTCAAGTAGATCTACATTTCTCTGTGATAATAATTATTGTTATCATAATTATGACTCTGACCTAACTAGTTATTTGTTTTCTTTAGTTGATCACAGGTAATACAACAGGAGCTGTGGATTGCATCAAATTAGATTATACATCACAGAACTGGTGTCATGTAAGTATTGAAGGACCAATGTGAAGTTTAATTGACAAATCAATTTCTATTTGAAATTAAAATTACACATGCTTCAATTTTTTTATTTTTTTTACATGGAATGACTTCAAGTTCTTAATATTTTTTAATGAATAATACTAACTTCAAAAAGAAATAATTTAACTCATGAACTGATATCTGCTTATTTTGTTTTAGAAAGGGGACTGCAAATTAAACTTTGGCAACCGCTCACATCTCTTCTGGCACATCCTGGAGGATCATGACATCACAGAGGTCAAGAAGGAAACATCAGCTTTAAAACAACTGTCTAGCAAAGAATTACTCTCATAAAATAAATTGTGTGAAATTTAAATATCTTAATCCTTTACAGATTTTGTTTCACCACAAGTTTTTATGTCAGATTTAAAGTTCAACATCAAGTGTTGCTACTAAATAAATCATGAAGATACATTAAAAAAACATTCTGAGATATTTCCCTAGATAGATTCACTATTCTCTTATCAGTTCACATCTTATGCTTCTCCTAAATATATGTATTTATTTTATTTCACACAGTAATGTCCCTGAGTTCAATCCTTATTTTTGTAATCTATAAAAAGATAATAAAATAATTGTAAAATTATTTGAAAGTAACTCTTTAGTAAATATAGTGTATAGTATTCATATATAACTTTGTGTTATATAGAAGATAAATAAACAGAAGAGCTGCTTTATAAAGCAAAAAAATAATTGTGAATTATGATTCTGTGAATGGAAGCTTACCAAAGTGAGTTTTCTGACTAAACCTTAGAATAAATATTTTGTATTACTAAATCTAAATCTGAACTTAACTGAGCTCTTGTATGATTCAATAAATTTGTGACTAAATAATTTGGATGTACAGTAATTATTGGCAAATTAAAATCTTAATCACTAAAGAAACAACCTATTCATATAATGTTATAAGTGTTATCAAATATTTTCTGCTGTACTTCTGCATTTATCTTTACTCTTTGGTTTACATCTTTTTTTAAATAGATCTTTACAATCATTCTTAGATCAAAATAAAAAGTTCAGTAATTTTATATCTAAAAACAAAAACATTTTATTTATAACCAGAAAGAGCTTGTATTTTATTTAATATAAGAAAATATTTCTTGAGAGGCCTTGAGAGGGAAGGGGGTATCTAGAAGTTGGTTTTCCGTGCTTCCTTTAGGCGCTCAGTAAACACAACTCTGCCCGAGTCTGGAGTCGAACACTGAGCCCCCTTCTAGGTAGCCAAGTTCAAGCGCACTTGGCCTCTCAACCACGCTTCCCTGAATAAAGTTTCCTTTTTGCGATCAATCAATTTTAATCAATTAATGCTAAAGAACAATAAATATGAGACTTGACATTTAAAATCCTAATTATGTCTTACTACACTGAGACTTGCTGCAAACTTGACTTCATCTTTAAAAAGCAACTATTACTTGTCAGTTAAGTTATGGTACACACTTCATATGACTTCTATCAAAACTCCTGTCACCTTTCATCAACAGGTTAAAAGTAACTTTGTAAATGTTGTTTCTATGTGATATTTGTAGACTTGCCTGCATGCGTCTAGGTTTTTATCTTGTTCTTTCATAAAGAACAATTTATATGTCTTGAGAAAACTTACATTTGATAATGTATTTAATCAAAACAGAGCAGTGTATTGTGGGTCTTGGTATTCAAAATGGCTGATGTGTTTTTATTTAAATGATTAACATGGAAGGTTGACTATTATAAACACAATTTTAAAGTGAATTTTTAATTTTAATGATCAGTTGATTTTTATTATTATTATTATTTTAATTGACTTTTAATGTTGTACTCGCATTTTTAAACTTGAATAAATATTTGTATTATTGAATTTTGCTTGCAAGTTTGTCTGTTGTTTTTTTTTTTATCTTTTTAGATGACAATGTTTATGGACATCTAAATTTAGAAAATTCAATTGCAGTGAGAGTCAGTTGTTACGCATTCTGAGTTTTAGATTTAAAAATTTTTTTTTTTGAAGTAGAGTTTTGTAGCCAATTTTTTTTTTTGCTCTTCATAGAGCAATGATTAAACCAAATTGAATGCAATATTCCAGATAAAAATTCTGTCCAGATTAGGAATTGAACCCAGAACCTCAGGCTTGTCAGGCCATGTGCTCTGTACACTTCAGCCACAAAACTCTACTCAAAATTTTCTAACAAAATGAATTTAAAACATCATACTGCCTGCTGCTTCAAAATATGCTCTTCATGTATTCTTCTTTTACACGAGGACACAAAAAATAATAATTTTGTAGACACCTTTTTTTTAAAGTAAAAAATTGAAAAGTTGCAGATTGCCCTTGCCTATAAGAAATTACAAATCTTTAAATTTATATTTTAAAAGTCAGTGATAATAGTTTCTCACCATCCTTATGTAGTTCTAAATGAAGATCATAATGTTGAGTGACTATTCTAATTTAAAATCATAATGTTTAGACACTAGAGTGGTATTTATTGAGAAATTGAAATATTCTTGTAGTTCCATTATTTTATTTATATTTTTTTCTCAAGCTTAGTTAAGTTTTTTTTTTTTTTTAAAGTATTAAACAGCAAGAGAGTTAGAGCACACAAACAATATAGCCCATTAATCTTTTTCTATTTTCACTTTTATTGTATTAGAAAAACAAATTCTCATCCAATATTTCTTTCAACTGTTAGCTTCAGTTTACATTTCTTTTTTATTAACAATAAAAACATTTATTATTAACTACACAGGGGCAATAACTTCACACAACTAAATCAATATTTGTTTTGTGTGCTGTCCATTATGCATATAAATAAATTTTAGACTAAGACATTAACCATTTTGAAGGCTGACTTGAGCAATGACTGACATTACTTTCTAAGATTCCTTTATTTCTTGCCAACCACACTGCCAGTGTTTCCTGAGCCAGTAGAGAATGGACACTGGGCAGTACCTTTCTGTTCTGGATGTTCTGTTCTCAACCATAAAGATTTCAGAGCTGAGGACAGACAACAAACACAGCTCAGAATTGTTGAACAACATTCTTCAGGCCATGAACCAGACATCTTAAAGAGAGATCCCCTTAGAACACATCATCATAAGTCTTGTGGGTGCTGTTAACCCATATTATATTATAATTATTATTATTATTATAAATAGCTGTCTAAAAGCTTTTTTTTCCTTGTAAGAAATATGACTACTGCATTATTGGAAGGGAGCAGATAGCATGCAACTAACTTGTAACTAACCTGCAACAGCTGTCTGGAAGCCAGCATTGTAGTCACATGCGACTTCATTGTTGACATAGTTGGAGCGATCATCTGTGTAGTCATCACTTTGACCAGGACCTCCAACCAACGCCCCATACAGAATGTGAACATTTGGCTCTTTACTGGACATGATGAAGGGGCCGCAGGGTGCAGGCAGGTTAGGGCACGAGCTAGAACCAAGGAAAAAAATCAAGGCATAAATTATTTTTGTCTGACTGTCTGTCTTTCTGTCTGTCAATGTACTTAAATGTGTAACTTCCTATTTGAATGTTTATCTTTCCTAGTCACCCACCTGGCTCTGTGATGTGGACTGTGTGGATACTTGTCACCAAATCCAATCAAATAGCTGAATCCTGTATCTCCAAGAGCATAATGTATCTGGCACATAGCCCAGTGTCTGTATTGGTCCGCGTTAAGGCCAGCATCTGCTGCTACCAGAGCAGCCATGGCCATGTTGGCTGATTGGACAAAGAGACAGTTTTCATTGTCACAAACATAAAAAAAAACATTGAACACAGTTTTGTGAAAAAAGATAGAATATAGTCTTGTATGTTGCTTTTTAAACATTATTATTGAAACTATTTTTTTTTACACCATCAAAATCCAGTATAAGTTCACCAACAAGATACTAAAGAGAATCCCTCGCAGAATTTGTTGTATAAGTAGGCCCGTGTCTAATGTAAGATTGAAGTCTGTGTGTTGTATTAACAAAGAAATTTAGGATTACTTACAGGAGTATCTTAGTGATCCCCACTGAAGTCTATAGGCTAAACCTTTAGGAGTATATGGAATGCCTCCGCCAGGAAACCAAAACTTGAACGAATCTTCTACGGCTGTTTTGTATTTCTCATCTTTAGTAATTTTGTAAAGCATCACCTACATATACATTACAAAAATATAGATCGATATTGACAGGTTAACAATATCGCACAATCTAAGAGACTTTAACTCGTTTTCTCCCCAATTATTTTCCACGTTCCGATGGACTTATTCATTTTGCTCATTTGTGTTTCACTATCCTGTTTTGATTGAACTTCAATAACTTTTGTGTATGTTATCAGGAAATGTTATATTAGGTATATAATTATAGAAGAATGCATGCTCTTTTTATATTATACAAATTAAAGTTTATAAAACTAAAAATTAATTTTATTTAATGGGGTCAAATCAACGTTAATATCGTCAGTTAGGAGTGAAAGAGTTAAATCTTGCTCTCATGACTACGTATTTTTACAATGGATTTTTTATTTCTTCATAGAATAATATGATGTGATGTTTACACACAATTTCATAGTGTCAATGTTTTATCAGCTAACGACAAACACACAGACAATGCCGTCGAGATAAGAACGTGTGTAATAGTAGCCTAAACTTTTTTCACATACATTGGTAACAAAAAATAGTTTAGCTTAGCCAATAGGTATGTGCATTTAACATTTCCGCTTAACAAACAAAAGTGGTGCCAGTAGACATTTCAGACATCACGGCTCGTATCACTGCAATATGTCTTTGAGCCCGATGGAACCGAAGCTTTACTTATCTACTACTTCATTGTGCATTGTGTGGAGAAATTTTGAGGAGCCGATTGGCATCACAAAACGGGCCGTTGTTTAGGTATTACTTCTTTGGGAATAGAGCCCGGGAAAAACTTCTCAGCCTTAACGTAGCACTCGGGTGGAAACGGTCGAAGACAATTATTCCATAGGGAAACAAAACAGATCCTCCCCCCCCTTTCCCCGTTGGGAGGCCTGAGGACCAAGCCATTGCCATAGCGGGATGGAAGAAGACCCAACAAACATGTTTCTATCCACACACCGCTCCGCAAGAGGCCATTTTGATGGCAGACACCTGCATGGCTTATGTAGTACAGAGAAAGAATGCGGAGTTTCCCCAGGTCTTTGGCCCTGCTTCTAACCCGTTCGTCTTTGGATACGAGTCATCGGAAATAGGAATGTAAAACTTTAGGCCAACATCTGCTTGGATCTTTTCCAGGAAGATATTTGTTTAGGTTTAGACAGGCAAATAGAGCCAATATGTCTTAGAACTCCAAGAGTCTTAGACTAAACTCTCAATGGATACTTTCGTAGAACAAAAGCATAAGGAGATTGAATTTTCAATAGAAATTTAGTTTTTTTTTAAAAATCTTAACGTTACAGACGCCAACATAAGGGCTGTTTCTATACGTTGACTTAAAAAATGAATAAAATGATGAAAGAAAACCCCATCTATCTTGAAATAAACATTTTATTATACAAATAGTAATAATAATAATAAAAAAATTATCAAAGTCTACCTGATTAACAATCGTCTTGTCGTCCCATGACATGCCCCATGCCGGAGCTGGATCAAAATATTTCTCCGCCAGTGCTAAATATTTGTTTTCATTTGTGGCTTGATACAGCCAGATAGAACCCCAGGCTAATTCATCTGTTATGTTGTAGGACCTTAGTTACAGAGACAGTGTAATGAATGAACAGATATTAAATTAGATAATATTTTCCTATCTTATTTTATAAAAAATACAGACGTTACTTCAAAAAGTATATGATTGCGTCCTACGCGTCATGCATCTAGTCGTGCATGTTAACCAATGACTTAAATTCTACCAAGTTACTGTTTTTCCTGGCTCGCTTAGGCAGCCCATTCCATGCTCTAATAGCGCTAGGGAAGAAGGAGCATTTGTATCCATTTATCCTTCCATATGAAAGGAAGAATGTGTCTTGATCTTTGTGTCTTTCTGAGTATTTTATTAGGCATTAGTAAATACTTTGACTAAACACTAATCAGCAAAACATTGGAACATTTGTAACTACATTTTTTAAACTCCTAAATGACTTATATAAAACCTTTTAGTTTCATAAGCATTTTGCTGGCACAGTGATTAGTGTGTTGGCCTGAGGAGGCTTAATGAGGCTAGAGTCCTGAGTTTGAATTCTGGTCGTTCAACTTTTCTCATTTAAAAAGCGATCACGGTAACATTCACACACACACCCACTTATTTCTCCCCCCACCCTTTTTTTCCCAACTGGTCCAGACAAGTGATAGGGTCATAGCATATTGAAAAAGCTAAAAGCATGAAATTGAGTTTAACAAAACAATTAGTAAAAATATTTATAATCGCACAGATTTTTTTCTTCTTCTAGCCAGCTTTATTGCTGCTGAGCTGTGAGCTCTTTTGAAGACTGTGCCAAGGAAAAATAGTGTGCTGTTTTCTTCCGTTGTTCAGCACTGCCGTACAGGGTGTTGGTTATGTTGGGCTGTAGTGAAGTAGGGTCTGCCTAAGGTGGGTTAGGAAGGGGTTTTCAAATAGGATATGGTTTACGGTTTCATAAGGGTGGGCGCAGTGTCTACAAAAGGGGAGTTGTGTGGAATTTATTTTGTTCAAATGGTAATTTAACAGAGGTGTGTGTCCTGTTCTTAGTTGGAAGATTGTAGATTACTCTTTGCGGGGGAGGAAGTTAATACTGTCCAGTTTGTTAGGCATAGTCATTTTTTTGTACATGGCTCTGCCTGTGT